GTCAAATTTGCCAAGGCGCATAAATTTTAAATCACTTAGATTCTCATTAACTTCCAAGGTTTCAAGAATTTTAGGAATTTGAGTAGCATCACTTTTACGTTGATCATCATTGGACTTGGCATTACCATCTTCCTTGGCGCCATATATAATTAGGTTGCCTTTGCGCTTTTCACGTTCATTTATTTCCTGAATAATTTTTTCCTCCTGAAGCAAAGTTGGACTAATAGTGTTGGGAGCTGGTGGTGTAGCCACTGCTGTCTTTAACTTTATAATTTCTGATTGCAAATTCACAATGGCCCTTTTTAAGCTGAGAAGGTCATTGCCCATATTCAGACAGTCTTTGCAGGACCAAGTCAAGCCTGATTTCGCATGAATTTTACGCGCTTCGGCCGTGGATATATTGACGCATTCAATTTTATAGGTTTTTCCACAAATAAGACAGTTTACCGCTTTATGAGATTCGATAGCTACTGCACAACAAGTACAAAAATAATTATTATTGCTCATTTTGTTATTTAAAACAATTAGGAGTAACGATGGACACTAACTTCACGCTAGCGGTGCCGGTCGCAGCGACTTTTCAATAAACACACTGGGGCGAAAACGGTGAGGTACAAAAACAAGGTGTACAAAGGAAAAGTACAAAGTGAATGAGCAAAAAGTAACAGATAAAGATTAACCTCAAAATACTCAATCGCTGATGGATGAGGATAACATATACAATGACTTTTAGATATTGTTACGTGGCTCTCGACCGCGACTAGGCTCAACCGGGAAGGCCGTGGGTGATGGTACAAAAAAAAAAATAAAAGAAAATTGGAGCCTACAATTAATTAAATTTATTTAGAACGGGGGGAGGTGAGTGACTGTGTGACTGAGTACAAACTATCGATCTAAATATAAAAAAAAACTTAAATAAATTACTATCCTAACCTTATGAGTACTTCGCGTCCGTACCGCAACAGTGCCGTTCCTGGCGGTGGCGAAAATGCCGAACGCGAATATACTTAAATAATAAAAAAAATACAAGAAAATAAAATAATACCTAATACCCTATAACTAACGCCTCTCCTTCTTTCCGGAGTTCAACACGGCGTCCTCACTTAGAAAATGGGGTGGGGCGGGGCGGCTAGTTGACCTTCGTCCAAACTTCACACAGAAAAACCTTTCCACGCCAAGAGCGCAAAAAGATGGCAGCACGTAGAAAAGAGGAGGGAAAAAAAACCCAATGGTAAAAATAAAGCGAAGAAAGAAAAAGGCCTGAAAAGAAGATTGACTAAATTTCAATCCAGAACCCAATCCAGTAATTACCTCTGATGGTGTGCGGCCTTAAAGTAGATTTTCGGGGGTCTCAAAAACACAGGACACACGTCCTCGTTCCCAAATGCGGTGGCCTCAAATCGTCTCTAACGCAATTTGGAGAAGAGTAATGCCACAACTGGCTAAAATAAGGGCTCTACCTCCAAAAATGGCCCCTTCGCACTGGATACCCTGAAAACACTTGCACCCGTTCCCAACGACTCGAAAAATCAAAATGGAGTCTCTCCTGGTTTTTTTTTTTCTTTTCTGTGGCATGCGCGGTCTGAAATACCCAAATTGATTGAGGGAGGGGAAAATATCGATACCCCGAATCAATGAGAGCTGTCAACTAACCTCACAAACTCATGTAAATAAACAAAATCAACCAAAATCGTATCATCTCCCCTTTACAAAAAAAAGAAGTTTCCTTAGAAACTTACCCCTAACGGCCCACGTGGAAAAAAAAAGTTGATTTTCTTAATAAATAAAGAAGAAAAGAAAATAATGGAAAATAATAAAATAATAGAAGAAAATAATAAAAAAAATGGTGAAACTCGGCGGACTAGAAATCCTCGTGCCTATCAAGCTTTAAATCTTGGACATGCCAGGCGCCAAGATTCACCCTGGTATCATAGTCCAATAACTCGTAGACACCTGGTGTCACCTTCCGATGAACCACGCACTTGACAAACTTGGGTGCTAGTCCGGCCGCGAAACGTTCGCCCTTATTTGACAAAACCCGATTCCTTTTCCAGACTATCTGCCCGGGGTCCAAGACTAATGGACGTCTTCGCAAATTGTAACGGCTCGCACTATCTAAATAGGCTTTTTCAAGTCGTTTCTGAACATCGACGTACAGTCGAAACAGTTCCTTTAGGTGGTCGTTTAGTTTCTCTCGCGAATCACACACAATCTCATCTTGCGGATGCGGGGAAGTCAGCTTGTGGTGTAACTTCCCTGACAAAAATAAAGAACGTCCAAAGTTAAGGTACGCAGGACTATATCCGGTCACCTCGTGTACGGCGGTGTTGATGGCAAACGCGATCTTTGAAATATTCCGGTCCCAATCCTGGTGCGTATCTCCTGTCAAATAGCTACGAACAGCCGTCTTCACAACCCGGTTAATACGTTCACTAGGGTTTGCCTGAGGGTGGTAATTGGCGTTGAACGTAATTTTGCAATCATAAGATTCTACCATCTTCCGAAAGACATTACTAACATACTGCTTGCCGTTGTCGCAAATAATTAGTGATGGAACACCAAACCGGAGAAAGACATCGTTTTCCATATGCTCGGAAACGACAGTACCTAGAGCCGATTTCAACGGAAATAGCAACACGTATTTAGTGAAACAATCAGCTACAATAAGAATAAATCGATTACGTCGACGGGAAAGTGGAAACGGTCCCATAATGTCCGTACAAATCAACTCCCATGGCTTCGAGACAGTGCGATGGCCCATTTGTCCATAGGGGGCACGTTGCTCCGGTTTTTGTGCGGCGCACACCTCACAATTTCGAACGTATCGGGCGATATAAGTGTTCATTTTTGGCCAATAGTACAAGGCCAAGACTCTCTTCTGCGTCTTGAAATATCCTAGATGTCCGGATGTAGGAGAGTCATGGTTTTCTACCAGTACAGCTTTACGTAATGAAGGAGGTACTAACAATCTCCAATCATCGTCCGCACAGTAGGACGGCGACCCACCTTTTACTAATCGGTAAATCTTCTCGTCCCTGGCACAGAAACGAGGGTACTTCTGCGGATCTGCCCTAATTTTCTGTAAAAGCGATGTATACCAAGGATCATGATCAGCAGGCTGAACATCAACGGCGTTGATAGCGCGGGACAGTGCATCCGGAACTACATTCGACTTCCCCTTTCTGTGAACAATTTCAAAATCATATCCCTGTAATCTCAAGGACCAACGGGCGAGTCGTCCCGACGGATTTTGTAGCTTGTACAGCCACAACAACGAGAAATGGTCGGTAACGACCGTAAAACGAACGCCCTCCAAATAAGGCCGAAATTTTTTGATACCGAACAAAACGGCTAAACACTCCAACTCCGTGGCTGAATATTTTGACTCCGCGCCCGTGAGAGCTCTGCTCGCGTAGGCGATTACTTGCTCTCCCTCTGATCCGTCTTGACTAAGGACGCACCCCAACGCCTGACCAGAAGCGTCACATTGCAACACGAACGGCCGACTGAAGTCCGGAGTGGCCAAAATAGGAGCCGTAACCAAGCACTCTTTCAATGCCAAGAAACCTTCTTCTGCCTCCGGGGTCCAAGCGAAAACACACCTTTTCCGCGTGAGGCGAGTCAACGGCGCAACCAACGACGAGAAATTTCGAACATAACGACGATACCATGAGACAAGGCCGACAAAACGCCTAACTTCCTTTGCATTGGTAGGCCTGGGATAATTGAGCATGCACTCGATCTTGTGGGGATCCGTTCGGATCCCATTTGCATCCACGATATGGCCTAAATACCTCAACTCCGTCTTTAGGAACTCGCACTTCTCCCGATTCACGGTGAGACCGGCGTCAACTAGTCGTTCAAAAACTTTCCGAAGAACCTCCGAATGCGTCGCGAAATCGGGTGTCGCCACGATTATATCGTCTAAGTAAATAAAAGCCCATGGTTCCAAATCAGCACCCAAAGTCGTATCAACAAAGCGCTGCCATGTAGCTGGAGCAGTATGTAGCCCGAATGGCATCCGTCTGAAATGGAAAAGTCCCTTCCCAGGAACCGTAAACGCTGTCACTTCCTTTGACTCTTCGGCAAGTGGAATTTGCCAATATGCGCTTTTTATGTCTATCGAGGAAAATACCCTGGCGCTATGCAATCGATCTAAAATGGTACTAACATATGGTAGAGGATACGCGTCCCTTTTACTAACCTGGTTGACCTTTCTAAAATCAATACAGAAGCGGTATTCATTGTTGGGTTTCTTCACCATTACAACTGGTGACGACCAAGGTGACTTGGATGGTTCTATCACCCCTAATTCTAACATTTTATCAACTTCAGCGTTAATTTGTTGTTGGATGTAGGGAGAGACAGGGTAATAACGCTGTTTAATAGGGGAATGATCTCCTACGTCGATAACATGGACCACATTTTTCGCACAACCCAACTTCGAACCCATCTTCGTAAAGAACCTTTCAACCAACTTGGAAACATCCTCGCGCTGCTGTGGCGTGTCGCCACTAGACCCTTGGACAGCCGCAACTCCCAGCGAATAAGAATTCGACGCCACTCTCGGAACAATATCCATGTCCTTCCAAAAATTTATACCTAAAAGTATCTCCGTCGTAATCGAAGGGACAACAAGTACCTTAAAAACCCTAATGCGTGAATTTAACTGGAGGGGAAGATCGATAAAACCTAAAACTTGACGAAGACTACCATCAGCTAACGAGACATCCGGATGTTCTTGTAATTGCAAGTTGAGAGAACGAAGTTTTTCCCAACCGGGACCTCCGACAATAGTGGAACTTGATCCTGAATCCAATAATCCAACTAACGCAATCCCTAAAACTGAAACTCGTAAATAAGGCCTTGGATCTCCCGATGAAACTAAAAACTTGGAATTCACCGCCTGAATCTCATCTTTCCTGCACTCTAACCTAACAAATTCCAACCACGTTTTCCAAGAATCATCCACCGGTTGTCGCTGCGAAACCCCTAGCCGGTGTTCTAGTGGTTTCTTTGTCCGTTTCCCGATAGTCGAGCTGCGTTCCTACATTGACAAGTGGATGTAGTCACGTCTCGTTTCCCGCATTTAAAACAAAATCGACCATTTCGTGGAGCTCGACACTGGGAAAAATAATGACCAGAGCCCCTACAATTCCAGCAAAGAATCGAACCAACGGATGAAGTTTGAGCCACCATTCGAGACTTGACGAGAGTAGGCCCTGCTAAATCCGGTTCTAAGCAGGATGCTTTCGGGACATTAGGCCGAGGAGCCGTCGCCAAAATTCGTACGGTCTCTAATTTCTTGCAGGTGTCCAAAAGTTGATCGACACTACTGATGTCAACCAAACCGATTCCCTGAATCAAATATGGGGCAAGGTTGCGTTGCAAGACGCGTAATTTCTCTTCCTCTGAGGGTGGGACAGATAACCGATTGAACAAATTTTTCAAACATGCAAAATAACTCCCCACACTCTCATTCGGACCTTGCACTCGTGTCCTAATTTCCTGCCACAATTCCGTCGCATAATCAAATAGGAGAAACTCTTTTCGAAGCTCCCTAACAAAACCCGTCCATGACAGAACCGACGTTTTCACCGAACGATACCAAATTAACGCCTGGTCCTCCAGGAGATCAACTATCGAGTTGAGCAGTTCGACCTCTGAGACGCCTCGCGCAACTCTAAGCTCTTCCACCCTCTCTAGAAAGGCATTAACGCTCATCCCCTGTTTATTTCCTGAAAATTTCAAGCCCCATTGGCAAACAGGAACTTGGTGCTTGTGGATATTTACGACCTGCGCTCCCAAAAGTGGAACCGTCGGCGGTTGCACGTTTGGGTCGTTTGGCTCTACCGTCGCGTCCAGTTTAGAGTCAACTAAAACTTCAATGCTGCCCAACTGATTGAATAGGTTGGTCAGACGATCTGCCATTTGAGCACGTTCCTCCTCCGTTAACCTAAGCCTAACTCGACTAACGCGTCCGTACAAGTGTCTTAACTTAGTCTCAACATTTCGTTCCTCTGTGCTGTTTTTCGCAATAGACCGCCGACTTTGGACAAAACCGTAAAGTTGAGCTATTTTCTCCGTACAAATCAGCATCTCGGTTTCCACAACTAAGCGAAAGGTCGGGCTAAAAACCAAGTCCCCAAACTCTTCCGTTCGTATTAATTCCGATAACCTCCTTCGCATCGCCCCTACGGTTTCATGACCAATGTCGTCAACCCCTCGTACCGCCAGCTCATACAAGAGCTCATCTCGAGTGAGCCTATGAGAATCCATAGCTTAGATATATATGTATATATATAGGACGCAACTTAAGATTACCTCAACCCTAAAAATTATACCTACTCAAAAATCAGTTATCACCCAATCACTACAGTCAGAACAAGCCCCACGTTGGGCGCCAAATTAATTGTTACGTGGCTCTCGACCGCGACTAGGCTCAACCGGGAAGGCCGTGGGTGATGGTACAAAAAAAAAAATAAAAGAAAATTGGAGCCTACAATTAATTAAATTTATTTAGAACGGGGGGAGGTGAGTGACTGTGTGACTGAGTACAAACTATCGATCTAAATATAAAAAAAAACTTAAATAAATTACTATCCTAACCTTATGAGTACTTCGCGTCCGTACCGCAACAGTGCCGTTCCTGGCGGTGGCGAAAATGCCGAACGCGAATATACTTAAATAATAAAAAAAATACAAGAAAATAAAATAATACCTAATACCCTATAACTAACGCCTCTCCTTCTTTCCGGAGTTCAACACGGCGTCCTCACTTAGAAAATGGGGTGGGGCGGGGCGGCTAGTTGACCTTCGTCCAAACTTCACACAGAAAAACCTTTCCACGCCAAGAGCGCAAAAAGATGGCAGCACGTAGAAAAGAGGAGGGAAAAAAAACCCAATGGTAAAAATAAAGCGAAGAAAGAAAAAGGCCTGAAAAGAAGATTGACTAAATTTCAATCCAGAACCCAATCCAGTAATTACCTCTGATGGTGTGCGGCCTTAAAGTAGATTTTCGGGGGTCTCAAAAACACAGGACACACGTCCTCGTTCCCAAATGCGGTGGCCTCAAATCGTCTCTAACGCAATTTGGAGAAGAGTAATGCCACAACTGGCTAAAATAAGGGCTCTACCTCCAAAAATGGCCCCTTCGCACTGGATACCCTGAAAACACTTGCACCCGTTCCCAACGACTCGAAAAATCAAAATGGAGTCTCTCCTGGTTTTTTTTTTTTCCTTTCTGTGGCATGCGCGGTCTGAAATACCCAAATTGATTGAGGGAGGGGAAAATATCGATACCCCGAATCAATGAGAGCTGTCAACTAACCTCACAAACTCATGTAAATAAACAAAATCAACCAAAATCGTATCAATATATAAAACTATGTACTCACTATTGGTATAAATTTCAAACTCGAAATCACATTAATAACCCACAATTTAAATTAATAATACGTAGCGATGCGAGCGAAAGTACTATGTGAAATAATATTTAGTAATAATAACAATAATAATAAAGTTGTTAACAATCGTAGACAGTGTATGAAGAACAAAATTTCAACATTTTATTTTTTATACGGTATAATAAACACAATTACTACTTACATTTCTGTGTACACATAATTTCAACAATAAAAAAACAACTAAAAGAATAGTCTTTCACAAATATGTAATTTAAAAAATAGGATTAAGAATTGTTATAAAACTGAAACCTTTTTTAAACAACTTAACTTTTGGAAACAATGACCTTCTGGAATTGATAAATTTATACCAACTCTAACAATATATATACCGAGTTTAATGCAAAAATATAATCATCAAAAAATGATGTATTTATAGAAAATTTGTTTAAAAAAATCCTTTCTGACTTTTGAAATAAGTTTTTAAAAGATGTTTCTGACAGAATCGGCAGAACTGTCACACTATTTTTTGGATGAATACTTTATTGGTATATTTAAACAGCACTCAATTATAGACCTCATTAAATATGAAGCATGACAGTGGTCTGTGTTAAATAATTTTTCGCCAAAAATAATTTTAAGACATCATGAATGACAGGATGCTTATTAATTTTAGTATTTTCGTTCTTGCGAGATCTAAATTTTCGTTCCGTTTTTACGCACAACGAATTAACCAATCACTAGGATAAAAAAATACCGTTTAATTTTCTTTTGTTTCAAATAAAAACGAAATACAAGCTTTACATTTTAATACCTTACCTAACTTGTAAGATACAAAGCCTGGGATATAAATTACAACTTCTTGACAAATAATTGATAGATGCGAGTGTCGTACAGAAATAATTAATTTTTTTTTAAATCTTGACGGACAATTAAGAATACATATTTGTTCTAAAGAAATGCAGCTTCCAGCTCCTCTATCATTCACTTCTGCATTGATCAGTATTTTTCTTATATGCGGGCCACATGTAGGATTATCGTAGCCACCTAAATGTTGCATTTGAGAGAAACAGTTTTCTAGGTGATCTTGACTGCAATTATAAACTGCAGACATTTAAGTGTATTAACAAACTTATTATATTGATTGACTCAAATTTTTTTGACATTATCGGGAAATTGTTATTTCGATTATTCAGTTTTTGCTTCGATAAGGCGGCAAGTGTAGACTCCGACATTCACTATGAGTCCTTTAGTGCTAAATTTTTTTTGAGGATGTGTAGTTTATGAAAAAAGTGTTGGGATGGCAACAAATTTACTAGAGAAGTTTACATATTTTGTTCGTATTGCAATTAGAAACATTCAAAATCTTCCAAAAACTGTTTGACGTGGTCCTTTGTCTGTTGAATAGGCAGTAATTAGAACTGTTAACAAAAGGGTGCAATTTACCTTATTAGGAGAAAGTTGACCAGTAATTTCAATCAAATTGACTACTCTTTCGTTAAAACGGAGAAGTACGTTTTCGTTTATTGGAAGTTCAACTCTTTTCCAGGGCGAGTTGTGGCAGGAAGTTTCTATACTAGATATAGATTTGTAAAATTGCAACCTAACCTTTATCTGTGAAATCATGTATGGCTGATCTAAAAAAAAATGTAATTTTTTATATATAAATAATTAGCAAACTTACTTAAATACAGATACGTTCTAAATGAATCAGACGTCCCCCTATGTTGATAAATAAAAAAAAGTTTGAAAACCGTTTCTGTCTACAACATCGGGATAAATTTAACCTATCCCACTCAAATGAGTGATTGTTGTACAATTATTTCAAACACAAATATATTTTTCAATTATTTAAATTTTATTGCAGATAACATTCTGTATGTTTTACGTGGACTAACGCATTATTATCGTACTCGTGTGACCATAGAATTTTGCTTACCTACCTATATATCCTTGTGAGCAAACTTCACACATGTAGATAGTAGTGCCCCCACGTATAACGTAAACAACCATTAAGGACTTTTAATATGTAACTATTTTTGCTTGTTCTAATGGTATGTTTACGTATACATATTTTATTTCTAAAAATTGTGACATGTATCTCAAAGTGATAAAAGAAACGATGAAACTTAATTTATTAGTCCATATACAGTGAAATCTTTCTTCAGCGAACAGCTTCAGAACTGACCAAAACCCGTCCTCCCATTTGAGTGTCCATTAATGAGAAAAAAATGAATTGTATAAGTATTTCGTTTTTACAAGCGTAATAACTAAGCCTATATTAATAAGAAAATGAACTTTTTGGAATACTAAAAATGAACAGAAAACAGTTCAGTGCAAAATTAACTAATCATTAAAATAATCCAGTTATGTAGTTTGGCGGTTGTTGGATTTAAATAAAATATTGCAAAGTGTAATTCCAAGCGAATGATATTTCCAATGCTTTAGAATCTTCCTGATATTTGACAGATTATTGCAAGTCCTTTACCATATCAATAGACTGTTGATAATTTGCTACTTGTTCCTCATTTGACTCGTCAAATCTACTACTAATAAATTGTTATCTATGTTAAAGGACTCTTCTAAGTTAGTGCTGTTAACACGTATTGTTTGGCAGTGGTTCCACATTTCAATTATTCTCATTCTTACTGATCATGTTAACACAATTTTTTTATTTCACTGCAAAAGTTTATAAAAAAGAGACCCGTTTCATTTGCGTTATAGATATCTTTTGGCAACTAGATTTTCAAGAGTTGAGGATTCTTGTTTAAGAAAGTTTCTACATCTTGGTTCACACTTGCTGGTTCACCAGAAATAGCCTTAAAATAAATGTTAAGGCGTTTACGAATATTTCAAGCCAACCAGTTGAAGCATGAAATTTCCATACCCTAAACTCTTCCTTTGGCTCGAATTACAGGTCCTGAAAGTCTAATATATATTTGGGGAAAAATACTGGCATATGCATTAAGTTATCTGATGCAGCGATGTCTTTTCTATTTTTGTAAAGCATTCGTTACATAATTTGTCAGTGTTCAATCTTTTTAGCCTCAAATAAATTTGTTTTTTCTACAGTTCTATAAAAAGTGCTGAACAACACACGACAAACTCACTTTGAAAGATACTTTCTGTACATACACATAGTGTGCAAATTTTTCACACAGTCTTGTCATAATTGACTTTTGATATAGGTAACCAAAATTATTGAAATTATCCAAACAACAAACGAAATAATTAGTTGCTTCGCTTCGATTCAGTGCTGAGAATAATGATAACTGCGTTTTATTTACGACATCAACTGAAGTTTCTACCACCTAAAATCGGACAGAATCGCCCGCGCTCTATAAAATAAAAGTAATTACTGGACATTCAATCAAACAGAAATAGCGTTCTTGAGTTGGTTTATAAAATTTTTGCGTATCATTTAAGTGTAGAAAAAGTATAAAGTGCAACACGTTTGAAACTGACTTTTTTCACACTCCTTTGCCGGCTAAACGTCAAACTCGTGTGAAAACGATCTTTTCAAAACTTGTTGCACAATATAGTATTACGCCAGTATTAAGAAAAAAGAGTGCCGTATATTTAATAATACCGCCTGTTTTAGTTTCCCCTATTTTAATACGTTTGGACACGTCTTTAAGAGTTAATATGCAACATATTAAAGGCGTTTCTCTCAATTTTAAGTAAAAAGTAGCATAAATAGCTAATGCATATTGCTCAAACACTTATCTGCACATTTGTGATTCAAAGAAATGCTCCAATCTATATAAAAACTAGAGGGCTATAACTACCGTTCAGAAGATATCTAATATATCTATTATTTTACCCAAATGCGTGGTATCCGTGTCCACTCAAAGGAGAGTCCGTTTATGAGAGGTTCACGTATATATTTTTTTATATTGTCAGTACCTAGACTATGAAAAAATGTTCGACTTAAAAGAGTTGTCTGCTTATATAGGGGGTGACGGAGAGATTTCACTGTAGTTTCACCAGAAATTAAAAAAAAAATGGACAATATAAACATCTTACCATGAATTTATGTAGATTTTGGAAGTTATGATGTTTGAAAAAGAGCAAACAACTTGGTTATGTATTTTAGGAACCTTACTGCTCATGTAAACTTGAAATCTACAAATTCTGGTTTCATGGGTCTACAAAGAAATTCATAGCATTAAATTTTTAATGTGGTGAGTAGATTGTAGATCACAGTTAGTCAAGATTTGAAACTTGGCAATGTGTAATAGTAAATTTTTAACACTTTTATCTATGGAGTGAACAGTCAATATATTCTACTAGTGTTATCTCCAAAAATAGAGTTTAATTAGTGCAATATTTTAAGTAACACATAAAATCCATGACATATTTATAACATAAAAATAACGAAAAAATTCGAAAGAGCCCCATAACACAAATATAAATTTTATTTTTTACATAAGTATAGATTTTGAACCTCTTATCCCACTTTTGAACGAATGGGTATTTTTCGGCGAAATTTTTAATCTGATTTAGGCGCCTTCACATTTCAGTTGGCAACAGCACTTCGGACGTTATTTTTATTTGTTTCAGTATCAATGGTTGCTCGTTAATAAAAAAGGACAATCGTTTAGGAATAAAGCAAACGTGTTTTTTTAAATGAATGGTTCGACATGCATACCATTTGCTTTCTCTAGTTGACAAGATTAGAAATTGCTACTAAATTTTAGCATCTAGTCGCACTCACATATTATTGTCTTTCTGTTGGAAGTAAAAATATTTGCATGTACAGCGTGGAGGGTGGAATAAGAACGGAGGAATACGGTGAAATTTGTGGCACCGACCCCTATGAATCTAAACACCGTTTACGACTATGCATTCGACTTAACCACGTCCCTAGGTTCGAAACTACCGCTAAGCAGCGGCGGAGCAATTTGGTTTATCATCCAACAAGGGGATGATTATGAAAACCAAGTGTCTTTCCGAGATTGTTTACTTTCATCTCAGATTTACAAAGTTTGCAGCTCACCATGTTGAGTTTATTAAAAAAAAAGACACATTACGTATACCTAAAGCAAAATAACTGGTATGTACGGTAACACGATCGGGTTTCCTAGGTCTGCCCTCACGTGGACATAGTTCATAAACCAAACGTAAACGATGGTTGCGGTGTGATTTTGTCTCAAAACCGTATCATTGGAAGCATACGACATGCTCCCCGCGTTCTTAGTCCAATCTCCTCGATGTACAGTTATTTTATCTTGCTTAGGGCCAGCTTATAGAATATTTCAATTGAGATTAAGTTAATTATGCTTTTAATGAGGCGTTTAGTGACGCCTGATTGGCCTAGAGTCTGTCACGTGGTACTTTAATGTCGCATTAAAAATTTACTCCATTAATCAAATATTTAATTGAGCTTCTGTAAACCGGCTCTTAGTTTAGTAAAATTATAATATATACCTTTAAGACTATCCTAATATACCTAGCCTGTTGTTCTTCAAAATATAAGTTTTGAATGTACGCACAATAGTATTGGCTGTAATCTATAACATTATGCCACTTTTGAAGGTCTGTTGAAACTTCTATGTAGTAAGGGGAGAAGTAATTTCTACAGATATTTACGTACTATCTCAAAAAATCATTAAACGAACTCAGAAATAACGGTACTTACTTAATAATTACATACATTGTTATGTAATTGAAGCATTTTACGGCACCAAGATCTACAGTAATACCGTTTTTATCGTCCTCATTGTGATAAGCACCTTCTTCATACTTTTCAGTTTCTTCAAAAAACATTGCGGTATTTAATCCAGAAATTACTTTAACATTATCTGCTGTAGCAAGATTTTTATCTTTCACTAAAAATATATCCAAATCTATATTTTCGACTTGTCTCTTAATCAGTCTTCGTACTTACACCGTCCAGCATAACGTCGCTGTGTTGCTTTCGGACCGTTAACCTCAATCGCTGCAAGAGCATTCAACAGTTTTGCTTCATCAACTATTTTAGACGGCCAAACAACAGTTAAAATTTCGTTTCGCGTTAACGTAGATATCCGAATACATTCAATAACCAACTTGTTTAAGTCTTTGTTAATTTTGCACCAGTTGTACACTATCTTAAAGACATTAATTTCTTCAACAGGGAAAGCATCCCTTTTCAACAAGTTAATGATAGATTTCTGAAACGAGTCATAGTTATGTTTAAGTATAACTCGCTATTTTGGAGATGTTACTTGTGTGAAAACATTGAAAAAATCATATTCTAACGTTTGCGAAACATGTTCATCAATAAAAGTATGACATATTTGTCTTAACTCATCCATGTCATGTGCGTTGGCTTTGTTTAGAAGGGAACAAACATTTGACAAATTCACAATGGAATTCATTTTTTCGTTTATACTCTTTTCCAGTGTTTTTAATGAATATTCGTGTGCTAGCTGCAATATATCGGATATATCATTTTCGTCTTCCGATGCGATGACAATGGATCCTGCAACGAATTTTACACGATAATATAGACATCTAGTTACAATTTTGGCTGACTACCTGTATAAATGTAATACAGTATTGTTTCAAAAGCTTTTGACGGCACATTCCGTAAAGTAATCTCAACCTGAAAACAATTTAGCAATGTTAATATTTCCATGAACACTCTCTTACTTGTTTTGGGTCTTTCATTAAAAGAGACTCAAAATATTTGCATCTAGCAGCGAGCACAATCTGAAAGTTAAAATTTATTTCAAGTTAATCTTTTTGTAAACCACTGAAAAAACCTACTTTGTGCGCATGAATTGTTTTATCGGGTAGGATTAGTTGAATGTCGGAAAACGTTTCCCTCAAGTAGTAAGGTGACATATCTTCATACATTTTCGAAGAATCAGTAATAATTATTTTTTGTTGGGGTTCTGCTTCGTTTGCCATTGTAGTTAGTAGAAATCTAAAAATTTTAGACAAGGAAATATTTTAGTGGTGGCTGAAACATAGTTTCTGGTGCGATTGCAACGTGATTACTGATTACATTTATCTATAGATTTGTTAACTTACTGATAAACCGATAAAGAAATGAATCGACTAGAACACGTGATCTTTATCAACTGTTTTAAAATTAGACCTAGTTGGGTACACCCCATATCTTTAATCCTTACTCACTCTTTTAATTATTTAATTTTTATTATGGTAAAGTGCGATATGATATCTCTGATGCTCAGTAATTATCCACTTGTCTTTAAGAAATGCAATAATTAATCTCCAAAAATTATGTTGTTATTTCATAGTTTATTGAAAGTTTTACTTAATTTTAAAATTTATACAACGTGCCCGTAAATGGTTATCCATTGCTGTAGCGCTAGAAATGTACAGTTTTTAATTTTACAGTTTGTTTTACTAGTTATTATGATGATAAATTCACAGCTGATAACCTCGTTTTGAGAATTTGAAACAATTATTTAAAAAATTACCACTATTATTTGCTATACCTATGCTTCTTACATAATCGTTTATTATTACTGTAAAAGAACCTATATCTAACGTCGAAATATTGCAAATCTTTCAGAAAATTTCTAAACTCTTTCTTGACCTGTTGAAAAGGAATATATTTGTAGAAAATACAATTGGATCGGTGTTTTTGGTAATGATAATACTTATAACTGCATAGTCGACCTTCAGTGCTAATGAAACTTACTTATCTTTCTTTAAAGCTTAGAAGTTGGCAATCACTATAGCCAGCATATTTTCTGTTTGTAATAATTTCCTATTTAACGTCATACATTGAAGTTTTTATAATTTTTATAAATCGTAACAATATCTTCATACGTGAAATTATGTACGGCTGATCTAAAAACAAAAAAATGTGAATTAAATTAAACGTTTAAATGATTAATTAATTTTCTATGCCTAATAGTATATTATATTTCCAGTTTTGAAAGAGTGAACTTCGAGCAAATGACTTACGGTAGTAACTAGCCTCAAATTTTTTGTACTAATCATTACACCCCTAAATCGTGTTAAGTTTTTTTCCCGAAATCAAGGCTTATATGAATCAATTTGCAGAGCTGAGTCTTGTACAGTATTTTAGTAGAAATATAAAAACCACTAGTACCTAAAACACAAAATTTTGTATAGTTTTTGAAATATGAAATGATATAACCAAAAAAACGCAATTTTAAAATGAAAATTCAAGAATTTATTCGAGCTTAGATTAGGAACAGCGTTATTATTAAAGAAAAACGTAAACTATGTCGGAAAAAGTCTACTAAATAAAAAAGACACATATCATCAGAAACTTTTGAGGATTTTCTAATAGGGATAGTTTGTTCAGGTTCTTCGTTTTTTGCCATTTTATGCTGTACAGAAATATAGATCAATTTATTTTATCGGTGATTAGATTTGTTTGTCTACGAGATGATATCTATAGTATTGTGTAAATCGCTTTATTTTTGTAGAATTCTCTCTGATAAGGAAATTATTGAAGTTATCAAGGAGGAGAACAACACTTTTATTTATCTCTGAATGATATGTTTTCGTCAACGATTTCTTTAAAATTTTAAAATAAAATAAAAATTCTGATTTGCGGCTGTTTGTCTAGCTGTATGTCGGTGACTTCTTAACAAGCAATAACCACCCAAAAATATTAGATTAGTTTTGGGGATATTTAAATATAAAAATCTTCACCATAATTTGTTTATTCATCCGCATTAAAAACGTAATGACGTCATATTAATATTTTGCTGAATAAATATGTAGATTTAAAAAGGTCGCTGTAATACTTATGTTGTGACTACTTATTAATACAAACTTATTTTTAACGTTGTCTATTAGCTTTTTGTGACAAAATTCAAAATCTAACAACAATAGTATCTACAATTTCTCTTAGAAATTTCATCGATTGATTTTTTAAATGCTTTATCCCGTCCAAAAATTAATTAATTAATAAAGCTACTTATTTTACTAGTTAAGTTAAAACAAGTTTTTAATTTTTCTGAAATTTTTCCAATATAGGACTGTTGTTTGCCAGTACTACGTTATACCCTTCTAAATTGATATATTTGTCCCTACTTAAAAGTTGACGACCATAGAACTTTGACAAAATTGTATTTCTTTATTCGCTTCAAATCAGTGATGACGTAATCTAAAAAAAAAACATGAAATAAATGTTTATCAAAAGATATGCGTTTTGGTTTTCTTAATAAACTCTTCCATAATGTGAATGACAATTTTTTTCCCCAAATGTATTCAACCACTCGTTCATTATTTCTAAATCTGCCTTGTCATTTCAGACTTCGAAAACATGACCATGTTCGAAATAAGTGCCCTTTCCTGGACCCACATCTCCCTCTCCCTCGAGCACCCGGTCGAAGAAAGCATGGCCACCGCCGAAATCGACCTAACCGACATTTCGAACCTCGTCTGCAAGATCCGCAGTCCGGGAACTCCGCCTCCGGCGAACGCTTCCGACGCCACGTCCGATCTCAGCACGAAGATCCTAAACCGGTGCTTCTCCATCCCGGTGACGATGCGCGCCGTCATCAAACTATGGGAGAAGCAAGCTGCCAAACGCCATTACAACGGGCACGAAAATTTTAGTTTACCCCTCGGTTCCGGCGACCCTGGGGGTCACAAGGGGGCCCCAGGTGGAGGATTGACGGAATTCGGGGGGTTAGACAAAATCAAGCAAGAACCCCCTGGTAACGGCGGCCACGGCATGATGATGCAGGGACATCAAGGGATGTTCCTCAACGAGTCGATGATGGCCAACGCGAATTTCCAGAATTTTCAGACGAGCGACGGCATGCTGAGCAGCATAGAGTTGACGAACATTCTGTCGGGGAACGGACAGGAGAAGATGAAGCGGCCGCATAAGAGGAAGTCGGACGATTTGTGGAAGAACAAGAGGAAGCTGGGCGAGGCGACGGACGCGGAGATGCTGGTGGAGACGTCGAGCAGCGACTCGACGTCGAGGAGCACGCCAATTTCGCAGGAGAACGAGATCCCGACGCCGAATTCGGGGTTGGGGTTTCAATCGGATTTGGAACTGATGAGTGGTTTGGATCCGGCTGAGTTGCTGGCCGATTCAGATAAGGTAAGCCGAAGAAATTATTACTTCCTGAGCGTAAGCTAGTCCGGACGACTTGCCACTTTCATGTTTTTTCGACGTTTCATGACTTCAAGTGATCTCACGTTTCCGTCTGTTTGTCTGTCTGGCGTCTGTGTCGATTTTTATTTGACACGTAATCTCCGAAAGTACTGGCCCGATTGTTGTCAAATTATGTATGTATATTGGGAATATCATGTAGATGATAAAACGCTAACCAAAATTTGACTAATCATCCACACCACCAATGGGATAACATCATCTCAAAATCTACAAGAACGGTTCACACTGTTTTCCCGAAAATTTGGAAATGCAGTACTGTTACTTTTATTATTACATTTACCCCCGGATTTTTATTAGACAGATAATCTCCGAAAGTACTCGACCGATTGTTGTGAAATTTTGTACTTATATTAAGAATATCATGTAGATGGTAAAACGCTAACCAAAATTTGTCTAATCATCCCCACCACTAATGCGATGACGTCACTTCAAAATTGTACATAGTAAATGGGTTTTCAATTGTATAAAATAACATAGTCCTACACATGTAGTTTACAACTCTGAATCGACTTTTCACCCGAAACGTCCAGATTTTTGGAAAAAAAATCAAAATTATAAAACAACATTTTGAAATTTAATTTTTAATCTGCTAACCAGAATGCTTTGAAATGTTGCAGATGTTTTAAGGCTATAAAGAGCATCATAAATCTAGTCAAAAAATATTTGCTTATCCCCTCCAAAAACTTGATGACGTCAGCTCAAAAGTTTGTTGAATAAATCATATCTAAAATGTACAAAATATGATGAGCCTGTACTTGTGATCTATCACTCCATTCATATTTTTTGGATTTGCATATACAGGGTGACTCAAAAAAATTAATGAATGCGTAAATATATTTTATTGATTTAATCAGGAACTACAAAACCCAATGCTCTGAAATCTTGCAGATGTTTTAAGGTCATAAAGAGCATAATAAATGTTTAGTCAAAATATATTTGCTTATCCCCTCCAAAAACTTGATGACGTCAGCTCGAAAGTTTGCCGAATAAATAATATCTAAAATGTACAAAATATGATGAGCCTGTACTTGTCATTTATCACTACATTCATATTTTTTGGATTTGCATATACAGAGTGACTCAAAAAAATTAATGAATGCGTAAATATATTTTATTGATTTAATCCGGAACTACAAAACGGAATGCTCTGACATCTTGCAGATGTTTTAAGGTTATAAAGAGCATAATAAATGTTTAGTCAAAATATAAAAAAATCAAGAAATCTAATATTCGTCAGGTGGCGCGGTGAGCAAGTGTGTTTTCAGTGCACTCCTGGTTATTTAATAAGTTTGGATTGAAATTACTGGATCTTCTGTAAGTAAGACGTTTGTTATAAAACCAATGATCTCTTGTAAGAGGGGTGCAGTAGTTTCATAGCTGTTTTTAGTTGGGTTATAGCAGAAATACGGTTTTTACCTTATCTCTTTTTTGTGATAACTTTTCTTTGCCGACCGTGATGTACGATTGTTGGTTGCCTATACGACTACCTACTTAATATTCGGTCAAAATGACAACTCAGAATCTCTTTCCTTCAAAAGACCAAGCAATTGTTGTTGCTGCCATAGAAGGCATTAAACTTGAAGATTATGTTTTGGCCGTAGGAAACTTTGTGCAACCCAAAAATGTGTTGTTTGCCTCTCGTCTGGCAAATAATCGCATTTGTATTTATCTAAGTTCTAAGGAATTTGTTGAAGAAGTAGTTTCCTGTCATTCTCAGTTAACTATAAAAGATCAAACGGTAAGTGTACGTAGATTGATAAACCCAGCTCGTCGAATAATTTTGTCCAACGTATGTCCGTCGATCCCACATGAGATTTTTGTAAATCAATTGCTTTCACTAGGTTTTGTTCCGGTGTCTCAAATGAATTTTCTGAAGGCCAGATTGGAGATTAACGAATATGCGCATGTGCTTAGTTTTAGACGGCATATTTTTGTTCAACCTGATTATGAGAGAGAACTCCCACAAAGTCTTGTTATTAAGTATGACAACACTCCTTATAGAATCTTCTTAAATTATGATGATGTTTGTTATAAATGCCGCAAAACTGGTCATATCGCCAGTGATTGCCAAAGTGTTGCACTCACGTCAACAATGTCAGATACCGCTGATTCTGGTACACTAGTTGAAAAGTCGAATTTGGATAGAGCAGAAAACACGAATAGAGCTGCCACGGAAATAGATCGTTCATTTGACTCCTCGATACTGTCAAGACGGACTTCAGAAAACGACATAAACGAAGTTGGCTCAGTTGCTCGTGCTGATGCTGACTCTGCTGACAAGTCTGTGTCTAATAAAAGACAGATAACAACAGAAGATGCTTCTCCTGAATTTGAGGTAAACCATTTGGATTTTTCACGTAAGAATGAGACAGATAAGTTGGTAAAAAAATCCCAAAAAAAAAGAATTAAAGTAAGCGATTCTACCGAAAGTCTAACGGGAGTCCTTGACTTGTTGGAACCAGCTAGAGACATGATTGAAAATTGTGATGAAGATTTTCCCTTGAACTTCGATAAACTGACCAATTTTATGGAAGAGATTGTAGGTGAGTCTGATATACTTAAGATCGCTTTTAAATATACGCTTAATATTAACGGGTTACTAGACATGCTCTATAAAATACATAGTGTTCTTACCCATACGAGCATAATAAATCGTAACATCAAAGTTCAAAGGAAACTTAAGAAAGCTTATGATCAATATCTAAATTGGACTGTTTCATCCTCACATGAACATTTAGATCGTGATCATGAATAATAACGTAATTACATCTTCTTTTCGAGTTCCAGGATTCTCTGACGCCCTCAAACTCTTTAATATAAACATAATGTATACCAATATTTTGTCCCTAATGTCGAAATTACGATGCTTGGAATTGTACATCCACGCAAACAACCCAGCTTGTGTGTTACTGACTGAAACTTGGTTGTCTTCTCAAATTCCTGATGCTTCCTTAGGGTTAACAGATTATAATGTTTATAGAACTGATCGTGACGGAAGGGGTGGGGGCGTTTGTGTTCTGCTTAATAAGTCAATTTTCCAACGGTTTAGAGTGTCCAGAGTAAAGGTTGAGACTCCGCAGATTGAATCCTTATTTTTACAACTTTGCAGTAACGAATTTACTTTTTCTCTTGGATGTGTATATCGACCCTCTAGTACTTTGATAGCAAACGATATTATATTGATATCTGAACTTAGACGACTAAGCGAAGCTCATAGCAATTTTATTGTGGCTGGAGATTTTAACTTTCCTTGTATCAGTTGGCCTCTAAAGTCAATTTCTGCAAATCACAGTAGTTCTGGTCTGTTTTCGAATCTGATAGTAAATTCTAGTCTTGTCCAATTAGTTACCGAGCCAACAAGATTTCGTAGTGGCCAGACACCTTCACTTTTAGACTTGGTGCTAACAAACCAATCGAATTTAGTGGGTGATGTACAAGTATCATCCCCCATGGGAAAGTCAGACCATGCGGTGCTAGAGTTCAATGTTCAAATACTTGTGAAGAAAGAACCTAAGCATATGAAGAAAAAGATCACTAAAATTGATATCCCAAGAATTAAACATTACCTGGCTAACAATTGCGATTGGTCGGTAACTTATAATACTGCTGATCCGGACGTGGCTTGGAAGCATTTTCATAATATTGTAAATAGCATAATAACAGCTGAAACTACAACTTTTTTTGTGAAGGTTAATCCGAAAAAGCCATGGATTAAACGTGAACTAATGAAGGCTATCAAGATTAAGAAAAGACTTTGGCAGAAATTTAAGGCTACTAAATTGGAATCTGACTACAGGGAACATCGTAAATTTTCCAACAAATTGTCTTTTGATTTGAAAAAAGCAAAAACTCAGTATGAAAATAGTTTAATTGGAAAAGGTAACAAGGCAATTTATAAATATGCACGACAGAAAATGTCGAGTAAAGTATCAATGCCGCTAATCAGGAGACCTGACGGATCTTTAAGCGAAAGTAATTTGGAAACTGCGAACTTGCTAGCTGATTACTTTGAAAGTGTCTATGTTACTGAACCACCAGGTGTACTACCTATAATTAATACACCTCGTCTCACGGAGTGTCTCGAAAATGTGATCTTAACAGGGGAAAGTTTACTAAATGAGTGATCAGCTTTAAAAATTGATAGTGCGCCGGGTCCTGACAACATTACTTGTAATGTGTTAAAGAGTTGTGCCCATGAGATTGTAAAGCCGTTGCTTCATATAATGGAAAGGTCATTAATCGATTCGCGTTTACCATCGGATTGGCTTAAAGCGTCTGTTACAGCTATTTTCAAGACAGGGGACAAAACATTAGCTTCGAACTATCGTCCCATAAGTCTCACATCTGTGTGTTGCAAAATTCTGGAGAGAATGATTTGTAAGCAACTGAGAGGGTGGGCACTTGATCACAGTTTAATTCCAAATACTCAGCACGGTTTTGTTCCAGGTCGGTCAGTCACTTCATGTTTGTTAAAATGTGTAGATGATTGGGGTTCACAAATCGATAACAAGAATCCTGTTGACGTGATCTATTTGGACTTTGAAAAAGCCTTTGATCGGGTACCGCATCTTCGTTTAATTACTAAATTAGAAAATTTTGGGATTCGAGGCCCATTATTGAAATGGATCAGATCATTTCTTCATGGTCGTAAGTTTTACGTCAGAGTGGGCGATTCGGTATCCTCTGAACGGGTGGTTGTGTCTGGTGTCCCGCAGGGTTCTGTATTGGGACCACTGCTTTTCATCCTCTACATATCGGACTTACCTCATTTAATTTCGTCAAATCATGTTTTCTATGCTGATGACTGTAAACTGTATGCTAATCCTATTCAAAATTATCGAGAACTGCAAACGGATTTAAACACTGTCTACCGCTGGTGCTTAGACTGGTTGATTCCGTTGAATAACGGCAAGTGTAAAGTATTGCACTTGGGTACCAACAACCCCAAACACATTTACATAATAGATAATGAGGCAGTAAAAATGGTGGATAGTCAAAATGATTTAGGTGTTATAATAACATCTGATCTATCTTGGTCCAATCAAGTGGCTTACGTTGCACGAAGAGCAAATTCTGTATCCTATATGTTATTCAATGCATTTAGACACCCTTCACGAGATACATTTCTGAAATTTTTTAAGTCGTATATACGGCCAATTTTGGAATATGCCAATGTTGTGTGGTCACCAATTTTACAACGGGATAAGGAATTGCTGGAAAAAGTTCAAAGAAGGGCTACAAAAAAGGTATTGGGCTGTAGAACACAAAATTATCAAACCCGATTAAGATGTCTAAATCTTACATCATTGGAACAACGACGGAAGAGGGGAGACTTGATATTGGTTTACAAGATTTTTCACAATCCAAATATGTGCCACCTCAGAACCCTTTTTGAATTGAATGCTAACCAATTGCGAGGGCACGTTTACAAATTAAAAAAGCAATCATTTAGAACTATTGTTCGAAGGTTTTTCTTTTCTAACAGGGTGTTTGATGAATGGAATAATTTGCATAGTGAAATCGTAAATGTGACAAGTGTTAATATGTTTAAGAACAAACTGGATCAGTAACTCTACTTAGGGAAATCTATTTGAAGGAGCATAATAGGTCTCTGACCTCTGCTCCATTTTTTCTAATAATAATAATAATAATAATAATATTTGCTTATCCCCTCCAAAAACTTGATGACGTCAGCTCGAAAATTTGCCGAATAAATCATATCTAAAATGTACAAAATATGATCAGTCTGTACTTGTGATCTATCACTCCATTCATATTTTTTGGATTTGCATATACAGGGTGATTCAAGAAAATAAATGAAAGCGTAAATTTATTTTACTGATTTACTCAGGAACTACAAAACCGAATGCTTCGAAATCTTGAAGATATTTTAAAATTATCATAAGCATTGTAAATTTTTGTTCAAAACGTATTTGGTCGTCCCCCCTAAAAAATTTATGACGTCACCACAAAATTTTGCTGAATACATCCTATCTAAAATGTACAAAATATGGTGAGTCTCTTCTTGTGATTTATCACTCCATTCAAATTTTTTCGATTTGCACATACAGGGTGACTCAAAAAAATTTATGAATGCGTAAATTTATTTTATTGATTTAATCAGGAACTACAAAACCGAATGCTTTGAAATCTTGCAGATGTTTTAAGGCTATAAAGAGCATAATAAATTTTTAGTCAAAATATATTTGGTTATCTTCTACAAAAAACTGATGACGTCAGCTCAAAAGTTTGCCGAATAAATCGTATCTAAAATGTACAAAATATGATGAGTCTGTACTTGTGGTTTATCATTCCGTTCATATTTTTGGATTTGCATATACAGGCTGACTCAAAAAAATTAATGAATGCGTGAATGTATTTGATCGATTTAATCAGGAATTACAAAACCGAATGCTTTGAAATCTTGGAGATATTTTAAAGTTATTATAAGTATGGTAAACTTTTGTTCAAAATGTATTTGTTCATCCCTTCTAAAAAAATTGGTGACGTCACCCTTAAATTTTGCTAAATAAATCCTATCTAAAATGCAGAAAATATGATGAGTTTGTACTTGTGATTTATCATTCCATTCATATTTTTTAGATTTTCTTAAAGGGTGGCTCAAAAAAATTAATGAAGTCAATTTATTTTATTGATTAAATTAAAGGCAACACTTATTATTAGTATTACATTGGACCAACCCAATTTGGTAGACACAAAATTTTTTAAAGTTAAAACTCGGTTGAAACATAGCTGACTAGGTGCCGCGAATGTGGTATAGACATGTTTTAAATCAACCAATTGTGAATTCCACCGTCAAAAATTAAAATAAAATCCAATGTTTTATATAATAAGCGGATGTCGACGCAATAAAACCGATTGTCGTTTTGTTTACAGTTTCCTTGTTTGACTCTCACGTATGCTGTTACGCCTGTCATCTTAAATTAAGAATGTTTATACATACACGATTTTCAGTTGCCTCTGATATGTATACGTGAGTAAATTGTTTCGTTACTTTATTGATTATTACAAATCAATATTCAAAACGACCCAATTCATTTTCCCGAAAATTTGAGAATATAATAATTTTATTTTTAGTATTACACTACATCTATCCCAACTGATATACGTGTCCTTGCAAAAATGTTGATGACGTCATCGCAATTTTTTTTTAAATTCCCACTACAAAAATGTAATGAGAAAAAAAACACAATAGGCATGCAGTCGTCAAGTTTCCGACAGCGAGGGAAGTACTGCCTAAACTCTTTAGACCAATTTTTTTTAATCTGCTAACCAGAATGCTTTGAAATGTTGCATAAATCTTTAGTCAAAAAATATTTGCTTATCCCCTCCAAAAACTTGATGACGTCAGCTCAAAAGTTTGTGGAATAAACCATATCTAAAATGTACAAAATATGATGAGTCTGTACTTGTGATCTATCACTCCATTCATATTTTTTGGATTTGCATATACAGGGTGACTCAAAAATATTAATGAATGCGTAAATTTATTTTACTGATTTACTCAGAAACTACAAAACCGAATGCTTTGAAATCTTGCAGATGTTTTAAGGTTATAAAGAGCATAATAAATGTTTAGTCAAAATATATTTGCTTATCCCCTCCAAAAAATTGATGACGTCAGCTCGAAAGTTTGCCGAATAAATCCTATCTAAACTGTAAAAATATGATGAGTCTGTACTTGTAATTTATCACTCCATTCATATTTTTTGGATTTGCATATACAGGGTGACTCAAAAAAATTAATGAATGCGTAACTATATTTTATTGATTTAATCAGGAACTACAAAACCGAATGCTCTGAAATCTTGCAGATGTTTTAAGGTCATAAAGAGCATAATAAATGTTTAGTCAAAATATATTTGCTTATCCCCTCCAAAAACTTGGTGACGTCAGCTCGAAAGTTTGCCGAATAAATCATATCTAAAATGTACAAAATATGATCAGTCTGTACTTGTGATCTATCACTCCATTCATATTTTTTGGATTTGCATGTAGAGGGTGATTCAAAAAAATTAATGAAAGCGTAAATTAATTTTACTGATTTAATCAGGAACTACAAAACCCAATGCTTTGAAATCTTGAAGATGTTTTAAGGTTATAAAGAGCATAATAAATGTTTAGTCAAAATACATTTGCTTATCCCCTCCAAAAAATTGATGACGTCAGCTCAAAAGTTTGCCGAAAAAATCTTATCTAAACTGTACAAAATATGATGAGTCTGTACTTGTAATTTATCACTCCATTCATATTTTTTGGATTTGCCTATACAGGGTGACTCAAAAAAATTAATGAATGCGTAAATATATTTTATTGATTTAATCAGGAACTACAAAACCGAATGCTCTGAAATCTTGTAGATGTTTTAAGGTCATAAAGAGCATAATAAATGTTTAGTCAAAATATATTTGCTTATCCCCTCCAAAAACTTGATGACGTCAGCTCGAAAGTTTGCCGAATAAATCATATCTAAAATGTACAAAATATGATGAGTCTGTACTTGTGATTTATCACTCCATTGATTTTTTTTTGGATTTGCATATACAGAATGACTCAAAAAAATTAATGAATGCGTAAATTTATTTTATTGATTTACTCAGGAACTGCAAAACCGAATGCTTTGAAATCTTGCAGATGTTTTAAGGTTATAAAGAGCATAATAAATGTTTAGTCAAAATATATTTGCTTATCCCTTCCAAAAAATTGATGACGTCAGCTCGAAAGTTTGCCGAATAAATCCTATCTAAACTGTACAAAATATGATGAGTCTGTACTTGTGATTTATCACTCCATTGATTTTTTTTTGGATTTGCATATACAGGGTGACTAAAAAAAATTAATGAATGCGTAAATTTATTTTATTGATTTACTCAGGAACTACAAAACCGAATTCTTTGAAATCCACTGCGAAAAAAAAAACATAATAGGCATGCAGTCGTCACGTTTCCGACAGCGAGGGATGTACTGTCGAAACTCTTTAGACCAATTTTTTCATTTTCTTTCATTTTTCAATTTTTCGTTTCCTCAATTTTTCAAGTTCTTGATTCTCTTTTTCTCGTTTCTTTCATTTCCACTTTCTCGATTTTATAGCACAAATTTGTGTTCTTTCATTTTCTTTATTTTTTCGATGTTTCTTTCGACATTATAATTTTTCGTTTATTCGATTTTCCAAATTTTCAATCTTTGAATTTTCAATTCTTCGATTTTCCAATTTTTAAATTTTTCGGTTTTGCAATTTTTGGTTTCCAGTTGTCCGATTTTTTGATTTCTTTAATTTTTAATGTTTCGATTTTGCAATACATATATCGTTTTCTCGACTTTGCACTTTTTTCGATTTTTAAGTTTCTCAACTTTTAATCTTTCGATTTTTCAGAGTATTCATTTTATACTTTCTTGTTTTGAGTTTTTCGTTTTTGCAGTTTTTCCATTCCATCCGAAAAGTTGAAAAATAGGAAAAAATTGAAAGACGAAAATGTGGAAAATCGAGGAATTGAAGAAACGAAAAATTTAAATACTGAAAAATTGAAAACCGGGAAACTTAAATATGAAAAAAAATTAATTAGTCGAAAAAAGAAAAAAAAAACGAATCGAATAGAAAAATTGGAAAACCCAAAAATTGTAAAATTGATAAATATAGAATCGTCAAAATTGCAATGTCGAGAAACTAAAAAATTACAAATCGTATAAACGAAAATTTTAAAATTAGGTTATTGAAAAATGAAAAAATTCTAAAATCGTAAAATTGAAAAAGTGATTTTTTTTTTTAAATTATAATTATTTTCACCTATTTAAAACTAAAAAAATAACAAATCGAAAATTTGAAGAACCGAAAAATTGAAAAGTCGAATAAATGCAAGTTTTAAAATCCAATAATTGAAAAATGGAAGTATTTTGAAAATTATTATTAATAATATATTACACATTTAAACAAAAACTAGAAAAATTGCAAATCTAAAATTGAAAAAACGAAAAATTAAAAATTTTAAAACTGAAAAATTGACAGCCGAAAAAATAAAAATGATAAAATCAGCACACTGAAAAAACAACGAAAATAAAAACCGAAACGAACAATTGCCAATCGAAAAGTTGAAGTGAAAAATGAAAAACCGAAAAATGAAAAACTCGAAGAGTTACATATTGTAAAATTGAAGAAACAAAAATAAGAAAAATTGAACGAATAATTGAAAAAAATTTAAATTCAAAAAACAAAAAATTATAAAATCAAAACATTGACAAGTCGAAAATTTGAAGAAATAAAAAAATTGAAGAATCGAAAAGTCGAATAAAAGGAAAGAAAATTTTAAAATCCAATATGTAATTGAAAAATGGAAAAATTCTAAAATAATAGCGTTGAGAGAGTGAAATATTTTAAAAGTTATTATTTTGATTATTATTACACATTTAAAACGAAATCTAGAAAAAATGAAAAATTAAAAAATCTAAAAGTGAAAAATTGAAAACCGAAACATAGCAATTTGAAAAACTGAAAAATCCAAAAATTGATCAAAATCAGATCGAAAAAAGGAAAAATTAAAGTTTCAAAATCTAGAAACTGAAGAAACCAAAAACTGAAAAAATTAAAATTGAAAAACAAAAAATTATAAAATCGTAAAGTTGCAAAATCTAAAAATTGAAAAATTCAAATTTGGAAAATTGAAAAACTGAAAAATTAGTATTAAAAACTAAAAAAACTGCAAATCGAAAACTTAAGACACAAAAAAAATGAAGAATTGAAAAATTCAAGTCAAAAACATTCGTGTTACTGGTGTCATTATGGGTTTTTACTTTATAGAGGTTATCAGAAAAGAAAAATCACAAATACATGATTTTTATAAGTTTTCAAAAAAGCGGGATTTGTTCGCTTCAAGGGCAAGGGAAGTTCTGTCGAAACAACTTTCCACCAATTTTTTAACTGTGGCGAATGTGTGTTTTAACAAAAATCATTATTTGTCCTCATCGTAATGTCATTGTTGTTAGATGAGTGGTGATTTCGGAAGTCTGGACGAATTAGGCGACGTAGAGGAAATGCTGGCTGGCCCTTCTAGACGAAAATCTCGAGACCAGAAATCTCCCACTAATCTCATGATGGATTTAGGCGAGAAGAATTTGGTACCTCCAAGCGTCAGCATCACTCCCATCGCCACGAGTTCGCCGGGATTCACCTCAGGCGGTAACGCCGAGAAGAGAACCGGAATAGAAATCAAGGCCTTGGCGACTTCCGCCGCTAACGCACTGCCCAGTTCCATCACCATAACGCCGATAACGTCGTCACAAAGCAAAAGTGGCGAAGAGAAGTACAAAGAAAAGAAGAACAGCAAAAGCAGGTCGGACGATAAGGTTAGAGAAGTTGATTCGTATTTATTTCGGTTGTGGGTGTAGTTGTAATATTGTTATAGAAATAAAAGAACTTTCTGCTTCTAGTCTCTTAGGTATTTTTATTTGCTTGTGTGTGTTGTCGCTTCACAGTGGACGAATTCTCCAAGAAGACGAAGCCTCGTAGTTGCCGCCGCATGTCTTTCCTTCTTTCGTACTGTTACTATATTATCCCTTTCTAACTTTAAGGGACGCATCGAAAAGAAGAGAAAACGCAAACGCGACGAGAGCCCTATGGATCCGCCCGAGAAAGTCCCCCCAAAGCAGGACCCCTTAACCAAACCGGTAACCGTTAGCATCAAACCGGCCGAATCCCCTCCGCTCAACATGAGCACGCCGACCAGTCCCAGCATGATGCGCAAGTTCAACGCCTCGCCCACTCAGAACCGCAGCCTGTCGATGAGCGGCAAGCTCAGCCCCAACCTGATGAAGCCCACCCTCAAGACGGGCTCCTCCCACCACAGCCCCAAGCACAGTCCCGCGAACGTGCCTAGCAGCCCCAAGCACATCATCCCCGGCATCTCCAGTCCGAAGAGTCACGGCACCTCCCCAAAGCATCCCTCGGCCAGCGGCTCGGGCAAACCCAGCATGTCGACCTTGAAGAGCGCCGCCAACTCCCCCAGTAGTAAAAATAGCGACTCGAAAACGAAATCCGCTTCCAAGGACTCTTCCAGGGACAAGGACAAGAAAATGTCGGGTGTGTTTAACGTGAGTGCGTCAAAAAACAAGTCGTCCGTGAAAGTGAAACCGCTAGATTTGAACGCGGACACGTTGAACGGAGTCCAAGATGGGCTGCCTTCCCCTAGCTCGACGGACGTGTCGAAGTCGTCGAATTCGAACCAGGTTAGGAACAGAAAGGGATCGCTTTCGGCGATCGTAGATAAGTTGAAATCGTCAGCGCAACACTGTGATGGTGCCACGGACTTAAGTAGTAAGTCATCGAGTGGGGGGAGTGGGGGTGGTGGGGGTAACAGGGAGAGAAGCGGGCAGGTGTCGACGAAGCTGAACGAGAGTAAAAGTGGGAAGATAGGGGAGGCGAAGAACTCAGAGTACATGGTTAAACCGAGTTCGGACGGGATGAAGATCACTATTAATAAGACGAGGAGTAAGGACAGTAAGACGAGTGTGAGTAAATCTGGGACGGGGTCGCCGAAGACGCACACTGGGCTGAAGCCGGGGGTGAATAGTGGGCCGGCGTCGAAGAAACCGCAACATTTATGTCAAAAGGTGAGTGTAGATTTTTTTGTTGGGCTGAAGCTAGATTGTCCCGTTTCTTACTCGGTTTCGACACTGTTGGTAGCAAAAGCGGCATGCAAGTCGGGCGCCAGTTTTTACACTTTGGCGAACTCTTGCTGTTTAAAAGTTTAAAACTATCGAAATAACGCTAGGAGCTTTAGATTAAGAGGTCATAGCCAGTATCCGGCGGGTAACGACTTTGTAAGTAAAATTTAAGATGAGCGACGCAGTGGCGTTAAGAATAAGAATCAAGCAGTCAAACAAAAAATCTCACAGTAAACAACAAGAAACTTAAAGGTCGTGAATTACGTAAACATTTTATGGTTTTTTTTTTTCATTAGCAGATTTCCGGCTCCAACGTTAGCAACTCAACCAGTGGAAGCACAAACTATTCCGGCAGCATGAAAAGCAGTAAAGCTCCATCATCCGGCACCAAAGTATCCAGCGGAGGCACTTCAAAGTCACTCTCCAAACTAACCGGTTCACCGAAAAGCGCAACCGACTAAAGCCTTTGACTGTGTCAGTCATACCACGCTAATGACAAAACTGGAATTCTATGGTGTTAGAGGCATTCCACACAAGCTCTTTTCTTCGTATTTATCTAATAGAAAGCAATGTTCGGCAGTGAATAACATGCAATCCGCGTTTACAACAGTAAAACATGGTGTTCCGCAAGGGTCCGTTTTAGGGCCCCTGCTTTTTATTATTTATACAAACGATTTCTATAATTTTATAAACAAGAAAGCGAATTGTGTGCTATACGCCGATGATACCTCACTAATCACGTCAGATCGTTGTATTAACAGTTTACTAAACAAAGCCGAAACAGCGCAAAAATATGCAGACATCTGGTTTGCCTCTAACTCTCTAAAACTTAATAAAAATAAAACACAAGAAATCTTAATATCATCCAATAGCAACCTCGTAGGGAACTCTGACACAGTAAAATTACTAGGTTTATCAATTGATACAAACCTGTCCTGGTGTGACCATATCAAATGTCTGGCCAGTAAACTTTCCTCCACTATATTTCTTTTAAGAAAAATGAAAGAAATCGTTAATTTTGGAGCACTTAAGTCTATCTATTATGCGCTTTTCCATTCAAATATGTCTTATGCTATTGTTTTATGGGGAAACTCGCCATTATCTATTACTATATTCCGCTTACAAAAGAGGGCCCTTCGTGTGATGCTGGGTTTGGGTTGTCGCGAGCACTGTCGTCTTTTTTTTATTGAGAATAATATATTGACCCTTCCATGCATTTTTATATATTTCACGGTAATAGAAATTCACTCAAATCGTAGTGATATGATTCATCAGTATCATATTCATAAATATAATACCCGAACAGCTGATTTGGTAAGAACAAGACGTTTTAGATTGACGGAGACAAAAAATTTGTCCATTAACATATCCTTATACAATCACCTACCCCAGCGCTACAGAACTTTATGTGGCTCTGCTTTTAAAATAAAGGTAAAGAAACTTCTCCTGCGTCATGCCTTTTATAGTACAAATGAATTCCTAGAGTATAAGTTTTAATATGTACATTGTGAGTAGTTTACATCAGTCCATGGACTGTTGTTTTTCTAGTGTTGAATCGTACTTGTACGACATTTTACTGGTTATGTTTTGTATTTTATTATATTTTTTTTTGTTTGCTCTTTGACCTGTGTAAATGCTTTGTATATTGCACAAATATATATCTATCTATCTAAGTCGGAAAGACCGACCGAAACTAAACAAAAGCAGCTCAGAAAAGTCGATTTTTTCGTCGAAAGATGGTCGCAAATCAAGTCCCACTTCCAACCGAGACGAGTCGGATGGAGTTTACAAAATGTCAAAGATGGACCCTTACCCGTCTTCTATAGTCGAAGGCTTAATGACCGTCAGACAACTAGATAAAAACTTCCAAATCCCCAAACTATCAGCACGCGCATCCGTCGACGACAAAAAACCCAAAGTCACTTCCGACAACATGAACAACATCAATCGGACCGTCGACACGAAAATCTTCGACATGATGAACAAAACCGACCTCTCTTTGCCCAAATTCAATCCTCTTGCGATTCCCGGCAATAAAACCTTCGAAAACTCCTTGGACCAGTGGCGGCTCGTGACTATTTTGGTTGGGTCGGCCAGCAGTGAGTAACCCAAAGTTTTAAGACATAGAATACAAGAACCAGGGACCTCAAGTCAGTCATTATCTATAATTTGCTTCCTGTATGGTGTTAATTCATATAGTCCTAACAACTTAGTAAAACAAAATAAAAAATATTCTTCAAATAGGTATAAAGTAAAGCATATACTTATACAATATAAGCCATCTATAATAATAAAATAACGACAATAAACTCAAATAAAAATGAAAATAACATTCAAGTTATAAAGTAACACATTCTAACAAAAAATATAACATGAAACGTCAACAACTATTTATTAGTAAAAAACAAAATTAAAAAAGTAAATTAGAAATTTTTATAAACCAATTCAATGCGTCTTTGTTTTGTATTGGCAAAGTGGTCAATTACTTGATTATAGAACTTTTGATCTTCCGTTAAGTTTGTAAGCACTTCTTTTTCTATTGCTAAAACGAATAATTTGGATAATCGATTTTGACTAATGGAGTTTCTAGTAAAATTTGTAATTCGCTTTAAAGCTGAAAAACTGCGTTCAACATATGCTGATGTGGATGGTAGGTATATGATTAAAATTAAAGACAGAAATAATTTCGGAGGCTTCTACATTTTCGTAAGTAGCATCATCAGGAGCAGGGTTGAGAAATTAGGAAGATGGCAAAAGAGCACGGTAACTCAATATGTCAATCGTACCAGACGACCAGAGGCAAAACTCTTTTTCTGAAGTTTTTTTGAATTTATTGTCAACATCATATTCAAAAATTAAACAATATCAACAAAATAGTTTGTTTTTTGACTTGCTCCCCGTCAGCCATTCATAATTTTCATACCATGCTGTATTAATTATTAATTATTAATATGCTATTGCACCGGAGCTGACGTTATTATTGCTCCGTGCTTCGATTAAATGTTGCATGCGCGGCTCCGAACGGGTCATTTCTTTTATATCCCAGGAATTGATCATCGTATGTTAAAAGTCGAAAGTCATTATTTAATAGATGTGTAACAGCATCAAAATTTAAATCAGTTACTAATTCTCTTACTAACTGTTGTCATTGTTACTGAAATTAGAAACAAACCTAAACCAATTTCATCCACGTGAAGACTGCAGAAATTCACAATATACAGACAGCGGCCGGCCGGTGCTGGTAGTGGGGAACCGCATGGAAACGTGCACGGCAGAAGTGGAGTGATGAAACGTAATATTGTACGGTTTCATCGCTATTGCCTTCTAACTTATACAAACAGAAGGTGATAGCGCTATAACAACTTGATGTACTGCCAAAAGGCCGGCCGATTTTAGCAGACATTTGACCAATCACTGCTGCAGGCGCGTTAATCAGAGGGTATCAGACACGTATCAGTCTTTATAGCTATTTCTCTTTAATTCCGCTAAACAGAGAGCGATAGCAGATATGACATTATTCGACGTTTATTCTTGTAGTCGGCCGGCCTCAGCTGCTGCTCCTCGCAGTAAAAATATTTAAACTTCCCGGCACGATTTGTGCTTCCGAAAGAAAGTGAATAAATTAGATAACGCTTTTTGTAATTAAAAAAATAATAACAACAGTAAAATCAGGTGATTTCAAAATAGCTTTAAATTATATTCTTGCGTTTAAAATAAAAATGAATATCGCAAATTGACAAGTTCGGTGACAGACTCGGCCTGGCCTAACTGGCCCCCCCTGACGAGCCGCCACTGCCTTGGACCCTAAACTCCGAAACAACGTGACCAACACTCTCCCTTTGCCCAGTTCTAGTCCGAAAGTGAAAGACGAAGAAGACAAGAAAGACCAGCCGCAGAACCTCACCCAGAACAAGGACGACTCCGCCTACAAAATTAACTATCCAATCACAGTGCCCAAGTCGGTTCTCCCTCCCATTCCCGAGCCGCTCAATCTTTACAACAAAAGCATCGATTTGACGGCGAAATTCGTAGCGCCCGCCCCCAAAGACGATAAAAAAGACACGAAGTCGGCGAAGAACGACGGTGACGTGCTTCTGGATTTTTCGAGCGGTAATAAAATGGAGGGGAAAGGTGGTGGGGGCAGTGGCCCGATGACGTTTCCTCAGTCTCCCTCCGTCAGTGTTCATATAGTTAAGTCGCTGGCTCCCAGCCCTCTTATAGCGCCGAGTCCTCATTCGGCATCGCCCTGTATAACGGACGATGAACTTATGGACGAGGCGGTGATCGGTATAGGGAAATAAAAAATCGGGTTTTTTTTGTAGTTGTTGCGCGAGATCATGAAGACAAACGAGGAGTTGTGGTAGACGCGGTTCTGTGACAGTGAAAGTGAGGTTAGGTAAGGTAGAAGGGATGAGGGAAATCTAGAGGGTGATTAAAAATTTAGAGCTGTTTCACATTGAGGATTTATTGTACTTTCGGGTGTGTGTGAAAGTGTTACAAAGTCGTCATTTTTTGCTAAAATTACTTCAACGTGAAATGGCTGCTACATTTTTTTATAACCCTGTGACTCAAATCGTACTATAATTTTGTTAAGTCTTTCCTAAGTGGAATGTTTTAAATATAAAGCAAGTACAGTGCGATTCAAAAAAGGGCTATGTACTTGGAAATAGTGATCATGGTTTTGTGATTATAGTCTTCCAATCTAGTCAGGCTCGTCATAGTTTTCGTCTGAAAATCATAAATAACGATAATTATTAAAATGGATAATGAGTCACATTAATATATTAAGACTTTAATGTCTTCCATTTATGGATAAGACAATTGTGAAGAAGCTAACGTTGACGTATTAAAATGATGTGGTTGTCACTTTCGACAAAACTGGAGAATTTAATCTGAATCTGAAATTATATCATATTTATATTTTTTGAAGTGGAATATTTTGCATAGTTTAGCAAATTTAGGTCTAGACAGAAATAAGAAGATAATTTTCAGTCAATTATCACTTTGAGATCCGAATGTCTCAATCATTCTGCATATTTGAATTGTTTTATTCAGTGTCTAAATTACGAAACTTTTTTAATCGCACTGTATCGTCCAGTTTTGGTAAAATATGTAAATGAGTGTCGGTCAGAGGTGATCTCTTCATTATCAACCTGTTGTCAATTTGTTAAAACACGAGAAGGCCCTCAGAGTTATACAACATTGTAAATATTTAGAAGTATAAGAGATTTATTTACCATCAGTATTAGAGTAAGTGGGTATTTTCTCGTGTGTATTGAATATTTTTTAAATTTACAATTTTCATTTTGTGTTGAAGAGTGGTATTAAGTTATCATATTTGATCATAATTGAGATACCTTTTTTACATTACTCTCCTCTCTTCTAGTATAAAATATTTGTAGGCAATTTACTAATGAACAAGTTTGTTTACATACATGATTATTAATTAATATGTAAAGAGTAGGTA